GAGAAACGACGAATTCAAAATTGGATATGCAGTATTATGTGAATTTTGGTCCAGCTCAATGGCATAATTGTGGAAAGTAAACGGTAAGCTTTATCGATTTGAATATTTTTCTTTTTATGCTTAGGTCCGTCGTAACATCAAATGGAAAAGGATCGGAAACAACAGATTTTGAAGTGTACTGCTTCAGTGTGTATCAATTTCTGCTTGCAGATGAGCAAATGACTTGGAGTTGTGTCCGTATCAAGACTTAGAAACTGTACATGTTCTCTAAAATGATAAGTCTATTCAAAGTGGCTTCAATGAACCATAACGGAAAAGTTGAAATTGTCAGGTGTAGCGTTATTCATACTATACTCGGCTATCTTAACTTTTCTGTTCTGGTGCGTCGAAGTCACTTAGAATAGACTTCTCGTTTTAGAGAACACGTGCAATTTCTAAGACTTGATACAAACACAACTTCAAGTCAATTGCTCGTCTGGAAGCAGAAACTGAGACACGCTGAAGCAGGACGCCTCATAACCTGTTTTGATTGTGAGCCACTTTGGTTCACTATCTCGAAACCCCTTACAAGGGTTTATGAACTTTTTCTAAACCCTATCAATGGTTTATGTGTGTTTCCTAAACCCTTTTATGGGTTTATGAATGTGTCCTAAACCCTTGGCTATACTCCAACATGGGTTTATGTGTGTTTCCTAAACCCTTTTATGGGTTTATGAGTGTGTCCTAAACCCTTGGCTATACCTCAGTATGGGTTTATGTGTGTTTCCTAAACCCTTATATGGGTTTATGAGTGCGTCATAAACCCTTCGCTAAAACCCAACATGGGTTTATGAGCGTTTCCTAAACCCTTTACTGAATTTCATCCGTACTTAGTGGCCGTCATAAACCGTTTTTGAGGGTTTATGCAAGGGTTTATGAATTTCCTAAACCCTTTGAAAGGGTATATGAAAGGGTTTATGATTTTCCTAAACCCTTAAAAGGGTTGTTGAAAGTGCAACGTATAATAAACCCTTAAAGGGTTTAGGAACTTCCTAAACCCTTTCCTAAACCCTTTGAAACGGTATATGAAAGGGTTTATGAATTTCCTAAACCCTTTATTAAACCCTTAAAAAGGGTTTAGGAAAATTTTACATACGGTAAAAAGGGTTTATTATACGTTGCACTTTCATCAACCCTTTTTGGGTTTATTATTCTACGAATTTTTTTTACAGTGTGGATGTGGCTGTGGGTGTGTTGGTGTGGGTGTCGATGTGGGTATGGGTGGGAAACAATAAAGATAACAACACCCACACCCCACACCCATACACCTAGACCCACACCCGCACCCACACCCACACCCACACACCCACCCACACCCACACCCACACCCACCAAACCCACACCCCACACACCCACACACCCACACCCACACCCACATCCATATGTATATATATATGTACGCCGTATATGTCCATTCATTACGCATATACATCATATCTGTCCATTCATTATGAATGTACCTCGTATCTGTCCGTTCACTATGCATATATATTAGATTGGCACAACTTCTGCAAGATTTTTTTGTGCATTAGGCAATTTTAGGCTTTATGTCTCATGATTGGAAAACGATAGAAGTCTGAAATTTTTACTCTAGATAGGAGTCATAGAGATCTATCTACAGTAAAAATTTCAGACCTCTATCGCTTTCCAATCACGAGATATAAAGCTTAAAATTGTCTAAGGCACAAAAAAGCGTGCAAAACTTATGTACCAACCTAATATATGTCAGTCATATTTTTTTTATTTTGTTTTCTTTTTCTACGCGCGCAGCAGCAACACATTATTGAACTGTGTTTTATATTATTAAAATTATGCAGTCGGAGATGCCGAAAGGTAGCGTAGATCACAGGTGGAGAATAAAGGCAGTCAATAAATCTTTTCGTACGAGAGCAAGTACTAATTTTTTCATTAGTCAACAACCCAAGAAAATCTTGCGCTTTCTCACTGAATTTTATGCAAACCGGTTGCTGTTCGAAAAGCTCTATACATTAGTAGATAACTGTCAAGAATTTTTCGCGGAGCGAAAACTTTTGTAGAGCTCAGATAGAATTTTTACCTTCTTTTGTCAGCTTTTCCAGGCAGACAAAGACTCAAAAAAGTACACCGTTTATGCGTAATTGAAATAAACTACTCAGCTTTTTTTGTTCAGGGCGGCTTTGACCAAATTTTCGAAAAAAAACTCATCAGTGTTCTAAGATTTTCTCACTAATTCTGATATATTACAAGAAACTATCTTGAAAAAACGTGTGAAAATATCAGTGAAAACTACTACTTTGTCGCAAAATTTTGTTAAAACTGATTTTGACAAAAAAAGCTGAGTAGTTTGTTCTATTTATTGATAAAATTCGTGCTTCTTCGAGACCTCTACCTGCCTAAATTTCGGAAATAAGTATCATAACATGAAACCTATAGAGTTTCTCAACACTTCTGCCGCCAAGGGTGGCCACGCTGACAGCAGTTTTTTTAAAAAGAGAGCTGTTTAGAAAGAAAAAATGTCTTGATAATCAACTCATAAAAGTTACCCAATTAGACATATTGAAACTCATTATTCGTTGGTCCCGATCTCACAGAAAAAATAATATCTTTTGTAAAAAACAATATCAAAAATTTTGGAAAATTCAAAACTGTCAAAATTACCTATTTGGCAATGTTAATGGAGCTACTTCTCAAGCATCCATAAGAAAAATTAAGTTCTCTTCAGGCGGGCGTTCTGTTTTTACCGAAAAATGTACGCTTTCGCGGAATTAAAGGCATTGAGGCTTGTCCTGTTCGACAAAAGTTTAAAAAAACTCACCCCACAGAGTTCTCCGTTCAAAAGTTTTGCCGCCGAAGGCGGCCACGCTCGTGGCGGTTATTGGAAAATGAGGCTCCTTTTTCCTCTGTGGCGCAGTCACATTTTCTTCAACGCTACCACCATAACATCTCATGGTGAAAACATAGAAAAGTCTACTGCGTTCTGATCAAAAATTTAGAGAGGGGGCAAAACCATTTACAGGGAGGGGGACATTGCACCCCCGTGCCGCCCCTCCACCCTGGTGGTTACGCCACTATACATAGCTATCCAGTAAGATATATTTACCGACATGTTAAGAAATTTTTCAACACATATAATATTACATCGACGTCTATTTTACCAATGATTCACAATAAACACGGATACCTTTTACTACGTCATCAATTATTAGCTCTACCCACGCCAAGTGAACATGCACGTGCATCAAGAATAGCAAGTCAAATAGACTATTATAATCCATAATCAACGTCTGATCCATTAGTCCAATCAAAATTGGTAAAACGATAACAAGGATCGAATTCACTAAAGCAATTAATTGTTCACTATACAAATGAACAACGTTTCACTAACTATAAATCAATGATTCGTCAAAAATGGAATGATTTATTTCAGCAAACACCAGTGATTAAAACAAAACTTATCGTCGGTACTCAAAACAATCTTAATCTAACTAAGGAACTGGTCCGGCGAAGTCCTTATACAACAAAACAAATGAAAAAAGAAAACAACAAACACAATACAACTCAAAACTACTAGAAACATTAATTCGAAACTTTCAAAAACACTGACTCATTTGCAAACTTCTTCTTCACTTCATTGTAAACTAACCATACAAAAAGTGCCTTCTATTGCAAAGCTAATAAAGAAAAACTTTAAAAACTAGCAAACTTATGAAAAACCACTCCAAATATTCTACATAAGATACCAACAAATGCACCAATAAGTACTAAAAAAAACACAACGAATAAAACTACAGAATTAAAGACAACAAACAAATAACGAGAAAAAAAGCTACAAAAGTAACACCAGATTAACATTACTCTTCAGTTTACCACACAACACTCAATACTGCCAATACCTTTCCATACATCAAACAAACGTTCCATATTTAAATAAACAGCACTCTAAATCACTCGAACCCTGACTCAACATTTACGAAACCATACCTATCCCTTCAGATTAGCCTTCTTTCGCAAATATTCATTTAAACTTTGCACAGATTAATAAAGTTTATTTACATTGTATTGAACTAATATTACCGAGTTAAAACTACCTAACGAGTCCATTAAGCAAGGACGAAATCCTGATCATGGTTTCCTTAACTCACCCTCAGCCTCAAGAATTATTTTTCTAATAAAACTCACCATTTATTAGAATATCTACGATTCGAATTTGAACCTTTGAATTTTGAATCATATGATAAGAATTTTCTTTCGAATTTTATTCTCGTTGTGATTCTTATTCAATTTCTAGGTTTAAAATTCATCTTATGTAGATTTTAATTCCAAATTTGCCTGATGAGTCCGTTAAGCAAGGACGAAACGCGTCGTAAGGAGTTTAGAATTATTTTCCTAATAAAACTCACCCTCAAGAGCCATTGAATAATGAAAAAGTTTCCATTTCTCTGAAAAAATTGTTGCCACACGTGAAAGTCCTAATGCGGCGTGGGCATCGGTGGAGAGGGGATTCACATCCTCACCAACACTTATGTGCAAGTCCACACCCACACGTCACATCAATATGCACCCTCATACACACGCACACACTCCACCAACATGCGCCCACACTCACACAGCACGATCACATACTTCTCTGTTACAAGATGAATTATAATTAATTGTTTTGTTGATCTCCTTGTTTCTATCTACCATATAATTTTTGCTTCATCTTTTTCATTTACTTTTTCTCGCTTCCTCTGAAACATAATCTGTGTTTGATATAGCTATCACAAAGCTTATGTTGTCATCATTTAGCAATTCTTGATGGACAACTAAATATACTATTATCTAAAAGTACGAATGGCTATTGAAAATAATCCTGTTGTAGAAAACATGACGAAAAAAAGTGATGAATTATTTTTGCAAAATATTGTATATTATTTTGACGAGAAATAACGAAGTCAGAGAGAGAGAAGAATATCAATATGCTTTTATTAATCAATATCAATTTATCGTTTAAAAAATTTCTTTTCAAGAACAACAAATGGAGTTTCAAAAAAGATTACCCCGACAATAGCTGCAACATAGATAAAGAATAGATTTGAAATATAACTGTTAATCATTAAATGTGGTTGAAAGTAATAAGGTATTGTCTGATTATATATAGTTATAAAAAGAATAATCGTGTGGATAAGATACGCCGAATAGTTCAGACGAGCTAGAGGACTCCAAATCGGCCATGAAAGAATGGTATTAACTATTCCACCTTGGTTCGTACTACATAGAAAGAGAAGCCAACCGATTACTAATGCCCAAAATGAACGAGAAAGCGCTTGATAGGCAATGATTGCCGATCGACTAAGACCCGATACGAAAGCATAATCTGGATACATTACAAAGATACAGGTCAAGCCAAATACGGTAGCCAGGAGGCTTCCAAATATTTTTGTATAGATATTCAAACGATACGAACGACCAGTATTGATGACAATAAAACCAGTGAGAAGACCAATAGCATAAGGTGATATGCGACACCACGGTGTAAGGTAGATTTTCTCATAGAAGGTAGGGCCGGTCTATAAATGAAAGAATTACTAAAAACTCTTAATGCAAGAAATTAAAACGTACTGTTTGCATGGTGGCTGTTATACGGTTCACTTCCATATTAGGATAATAAAGAAGAATGCCGAGAATTGATCCAATGCCAACGAGAACGAATAGAGTGGCCACCATAAATGCAATAGGCTTTCGACCAATGACAAATGGTATGAGAGCAAGTGGTGCAATCCAATGAAATTGCATATCATTGTAAAGATACCACGAAGCATCCAAGCACATGTCATGGATGTTAACTAGATTACCAATGTAAAGGATGGATGTCCACCAACCACGACGAATACAACCAGTGGTTTCAAATCCTTGTACGGATGGATAGAGAGGTCCACGACCGAAGTATGGCGACAAATTAATGCTCACAAGCATGACAAGCAAAAAAGTCGGTGTAAGACGAATATATCGATGAATGTAATAAAGAATAAATAGACGAAATGAAAGTTTTTTTTTGGCGACTTCTCGAACGAAGAGAATCGCTGTCAAAAAACCGCTGAGAACAAAAAATGTGTCCACACTGAACATAGCACTGGTAATTAATTGAAATGTCATACTGTGAGACCAGGCAAATCCATCGATAATATTACTTGTATAGATTAAGATAAAAGTAATTGTATGACCAAATATAACCCAGAAGAGTGAAAGTACACGAAGACCATTGAGACAATCAAAGGAATTACTATCGTTTTTCTTTCTCATTGTAAATATACGACGTAATGTATGTATGGCTGAAAATTCTGCGATGAAAGCTATATAGGTGCTTTCGAGTAGAGTTTGAATAGAATAACGTGAATGTCGTGGTAATATCATCGATTTATTCTCAGCCAATTTGATGGGTGATATCTTACTGGATCTCTGTGTGGGTGAACCAATATGATTGACTGATTGAAGACGAGAAGCAAGAATAAGATCGATGATGGTACCGATTAGTACGAGAAAACCGAGTAGAGAGAGAACAACACATGTGGCTATCGCACCACCTGATAAACTCTTTTGTTTACTGGCCGCATCATTCGAACAAAGTAGATTATTTTCAGTCATATTGCTTTGGTTAAAAAGACTTTGAACTAATGAAACAGTTGATTGACGATCGCATGACGAAGGTACACAAATGCCAAGAATAAGTCCGTAAGCCATCGTTTGTTGTGGTTTCATGCCGCGTGGAAGGAGTGCACCTGATAAAACATTCTCTCACGTTTTTACACATTCATAAAACGAATGACATACACTTACAGTAGTGACCATCGAACGTTTGTTTTAAGAATGTTTTGTTATCATGTTGATATAATGGATCGAGACATTCATCATAATTACCCACCCACAAATTATTTCCTTTGAGTAAACCAGATGGCAAAGGCTTACCCCATGAATCCAAGATTTTGAGTGCCCAAAGCTCACGACGTAAAGCTGATTCGACTAAGAGTACAAAGTCCTGCTCGCATTTAGTTGTCGTATTACTTTTAGAAGATAGCGAGATAAATGAGAGCATTTCAGCAGGTGCGATACTATATGACTCATAGTCAACATTGAGAAGTGTCAATTGTTGCCGCTGAAGCAGGTGATTTATAGCCACATTGAAACGAAGTGGTACCGTTAGATACTCGCTCTGAGAAGCGATCCTCAGTAGTGAAACGAGGAAGAATAGAACGACAACAAGCATCATAAAGATCTTTTTGTTTATCAAATGTGTGGCGCGTGTCTGATATCACCTGTGATGATACGAAGAAGAGTAAGTTTATGTCTTTCGAGTTTTGATGATAAAAGTTGACGCCATTTGAGTGATCCTACCTTTTCGAGAAGTCATATGATAGTTCGCCTCAGGGTTGCCAACTGTTAATTTTGAAATGGGGTTTACCAGAACTGGAATGGGGTACAGGATGTGGGTGTGGGTAAGGGTTTTATGAGCACCCGCACATCCCACACCCACACCCACACCCGCCACTAATTTGCGCATCATGATATTGGACAGTTTGACTTATTGTTAATTTTATTTGAATATCGGGGCAAATTAGAACCACTTCCTCTAATCTGTTGATAGAATTTGTTTTTGTTTAGAAAATATTGTTTGTGAAGAGTAAATCGAACAAGTTTAATAATTGTTTCAATAGTAATGTCATTGGATCGAAGAAAATCTTTCTTAGCATAATGTTCAACAACAAAGATTACATCCACTCCTGAATTGGATGTATTCGAATACGTGACCTGCTCATAAATTGTTTGAAGAAGTTGACTAACAAAGCGAGAAATATAAATAGTTCGATGAGGATAATCCAATTTAATGCTCGATTCTTCGACTATCATCTGTTGCAATTGTGCACGTAAGATATCTTACCAACGAATTGGGCTATTTCCTTACCGCATTCGTTCCTGTAAAGCTCGTCGAGTTCTACTTGGAACCAGTGCGAATGATATTGTAACCGGTCCAGGAACGAATCCGGGAAGGAAATAATAGAATTTGTTGATAACATATCTTACGTATGTGTTTTGTACAACCTTTGTCACTACTTGCTGCATAAGGTTCCCTACTGTTTCTCTTTTTGCCAGTATCTAAATAAAGATATCAAGTAATCAAGTTTTATTAATCATTATATTTAGTAGATTATTTAAAATAATAAAATGATGATATTAAAATAAGTGAATAAATAAAAAGATTAGTAATCAAGTGATTAAAAACTATAAATATTTCTTAGTTAATAATAGCCTTTTCTGTTGCACATCGACCAAAATTTTCTGGTGAATACATTTCTTCCGCTTTCGCTGGTGGCATTATGAATGTTCCAGTACATGTTGCACGCATAACATAACTCCATTCATATACACCAGGCCATAATAATGATCGAAATGCTTCAGCACGTTCATCTCGTAAATTTTCATGTTCAGTCCAACCAATAATGCAATGTGGTTGACATCCGAAATAATAATTACTTCTATTTGATCTTGTTACTGATGATTCTGTATCACCTGTCAATGTACCTTTTAATTGTGTATTTAATGGTTCACAGCCAGCAGGTAAATAATCAACTAATGCTATATGATATCGTCGTTGTGTTGTAGTCATGGTTAATATAACTTTAATTTTTTCATTTAATTTAAATTTCCATGTACCATCGGATTGTTTTTGAACATGTGATGGATCATCAACACCTATGTATATTCGTTCAATTTTAAAACCATAGTTAACTGCATTTAAGTGTAGACTTGATGGAGCATAATTCAATGCAATACGATAATATAATCGACCATTACCATCTTTTTGCATCAGTAGATTCTTATTATTATCGTTAATATTTGTATTGGATGGTGATGATGATGATGACAAAATAGCTTTCATTGGAATATTTACTGTGTGTGTATCTGTTGTTCGACCTTTATATTGATGTTGACCACAATAATCATTATCTAGCCAAATATTAGCAACAAAATTTGGTGTATCTTTTTCTTTTATATGAAAGTATTTATCTAATGCGATTAATACAAAACAATTTTCTTGTGTTGATTTCCATGCGCCTTTGACTTTATGTGCTTGTAAACCTTTACATAATTTAGTACAAAGAGTTGATTGTGGATCAATATATAATAATGCTTCTAATAAAATAGCATCTGTTCGTTGATTTGAATGTAACATAACTGATTGACCATCATCACCATATGATGTAATAAAATTTGCTGTTTCACTTGTTTCACTTACTTTACCTTTTAAATGTTTGTATATTGTTTGAATTAATTGATCTGTATTATTATTTTTCTCAGTAGTTAATGCAACTAATAACCATCCTAATGCTTCTAAACTAAGTTTATTAAATCCACTTCGTTGAAATAATTTAAATGCTTCATTAGCTATTATTTGAAGATGTTTTGCTCGTACATATAATGCATAACTGATCAAACTAAATCGAGTTGTTTCAGACCAATATTTACCGTATGGTAATTGATCAATTTCAGATTCAATATTTTCAAGATATCTCAGTACATTGTCCAACATACTCATGTCAATGTCACATACCTGTTTTTTGACAACAACAACTAAACAATGTGCAGCATGAACACTTATAAATGGATCAGCATAACAGTCACTTCGATTTGTCCAATAACCAAATCCACCATTAGGAAATTGACGACCTTTCAATGTATTCATATCTGATTGTAATTTTGTTCTTATTGCTGATATATCCGGTAAGTCTTTACAATTAAATGCTTGTAAAACATCCCACAATGATTGTACACCTAATAATCTTGAACTTAATTGTTCTGTACATTCATATGGATATGTATAAAGTGAAAGAATTGCATCTGTTAATGAAGCTAATGCTGTTGAACTTGTTGATATTGATAACTCACCAAATTGTGGAATAACATCTTCTGGTTTTTTTATTGGTTGTAAAACAACTTCTTCTTCACATATATCACCATATGTTGCAAATGCTTCAGATGTTGCTGGTGTGAAAATAGGTATACTTAATTCGATTGCATCGCCAAATGATATCTTTGATTCATTTGCTACCGTACTGACTATAAACTGAAATCGAGCTATACCTGAATTAATTGTAGATAGTGGAAATATAAGTGCAGCTCGTTTATTTGGTTGAAGTTGAATTGCATAGCCAGCTACTTGTTGATTTGCTTCTGATGTTATTAATTTAGCATTTGTTGCTTTTAAGCCAGCATGTAATAATAATGATAGATCGGTTTGATTTTGTAAAACAACTGAAAAATGAGCTGTATCTCCATAGTTAAGAAATCTTGGTGGTGAAGGTCGAATCATAATTGGTAGTTGTACAGTAAATAACATTTCACCTAAACCATATTGTTTATCATTCGTTGCTACGGCCCATACACGATAGCGTGTAAGATTGTCAGGTAATTTAAATTCAAATGAAACACGTCCCGATGAGTTAGTAATTGATGATGGTACCCAACATGCTAATGGATTGAAGTTCGATCGAACAGCGATTTTTTGTTCAGCACCAGCGCCAGCGCCAGATACCCTATCAAACGCGTAAGCCGGTGGAGCAAACATACAGCACTTCGCATTCATTGTCATCATTGTGCGTGATGCGAAAGCCTCCTCTTCACCTTGTCTTTGTTGCATATCTTTTTTAAATTTTTCTATATCTTGTATATTGAATAATAGACAACGGTTTCTACCATGGTATTGTGCAATATATGCAGATCGATTTGGATAAAATATATCTAATGGACTAGTTAATTTGTGATCAGTTAATGATAAAATTGCTTCATCAACAACAATTAGACAAACTTCTGCTTGGTCTACAGGTGCTTTATCTGTATATTGTGTAACATCGATATCGATTTGAATAATTGATGATGGTGTATATGTTTTATTTGATTCTTTTGTGTCAACTAAAATATTTAGTTTATAGATATCTCTTGAGACTTCTAATGATACTGAACCAACAGCGATTGCTGGACGATTTGGTGAATCAACCATTTCTGTATCTCTTGGAATAGAACCTGTTAGTTCAACATGAACGGTGAATCCCGGTATCCAATCTTTTGATATTTTGAATTCAACAGTTGTTGAATCTTTTCCAGGTTCAATCTGAAATTGTATTGGTTGGGAGATTTGACCTTCACAATCGAACATAACAAGTCCACTAGCTGGACTAAAAGGTGCTAAGATTAGTAATTCACATGTGTCATCTGGTTGATAATTTGTTGCATTTGGTATAATTGTCAATGTGTCAGTTGGAATATATTCCACCTTCTGTTTTTCTATTTCTTTTCCACTACCACCAGCAATATAAAGATTATCATAGAAACTCATAGCTAATCGTCCTTGTTCATCTTTGATAGCATATGATATATTGTATCTGCCTCCTAGTATTAAATTCTGTGAAAACTGATTTATCACAAACTGAATCTTTTACCTAATGTTGGTGTAAAATCCATATTGATTGCATCTTTATTTGAACTAACATTGGTTATTTGTTGTTCGTCTTTTATTTCTTCAAATACAGTTAAACCATTCTCATCTTCTTTTCTTTCTTTACCAATGCCAACTATTTTACATTCAATTGAAACATTATCAATCAAATTTCCATCAATATCTGTGACAATGACTTTTGTTTGTACAGGTTGATCTTTCTTGCCATAATTATTTACTAATTGAAATCCAACATAATATGTGCATGGATGAATGAGAAATTGTGTTTGTGTTTCCTGTGTTTGATTATTTAAATCAGTAATGGCCGCTAATGCACGAACCATTGTTGGTCTTGGCTCTTTTTCAACACCATGATAAGTAATTTTTATTTCATGTTGACCTTTATTATCTGTTTTACCCTGAAAGTAAATTAATGAAATCATTATTAAAAAATTTACTAAAATTTTCGATCTTAGAGTATTTGAGAAAAGCACTGAAACTATTACATAACTATCGCTGTCTGTATCTAATTTAACGTTCTGCTTTTATGTTTAAATAAAGTTCATATTACTTGAAAACGTTTTTCTGGATATGTTATGTTGTTA